CTCTCTCTCTCTCTCTCTCGCACACATGCTCTCTTTCAAATAAATTTGAAATAAATAGGAAGTACACAAGCTCCTATTTAAAAAAAAAAAAAAATATATATATATATACGCGTGCCTCCCCAGCAGCCCCTGGCTGCATCTCTGGCTGCCAGGAGCCTCTCACCATCCCATGAAGCCTCTGGCTGCCAGGGGCCTCTCACCATCCCATGAAGCAGGCCAGGCCTCAGCTGCTCTTCAGCTCATGTGGCTCCTGTAAGGTGCTGTATAGAAAGATCATTGTTCTTTTGGCTAGCAAGCCGCCAGATATAATCCAGCTTAAATAAGGGGGAGGTTGGCTCTCAACTGAAGAAGCAAACTGTTCCAAAGCTGGGAATAGTCCAAGGTCATGCTTAGTTCAGCAGCACATATACTAAAAATAGGAATTTTCCAGGGTCATTTTGATGACTTAAGCTTTTGGCCTCGTAAGCTGTCTTTTGAACCTAATCCCAGCACCGGGGCCGTCCCCTTCCAGCTTTTGAGAGTATTTACCGGCCACCATTACTGACCGTGACCAAACGGACAAAGCTGTGGCTGCTCATGGCCCTGAGTGCTGGTGATGGGGGACCCTCCTGCCTGCCCTGGGAAACCTTGCCACCATCCAGAGATCTGGCTGGAGCCTTTCTCTAGCAGCCCCAACCAGACCAGTGGTCTGGAGGTCAGAAGGCCAGGGCACAGTTTGTGCCCTCCCACGACTGAATCTCGAGGCCTGTGGGAGGCCTTGCTCTTCTGCACAGTCTGGGTGAGAGGCAGAGCTGTTTCCCTGCAGCAACCCCTCCATGTCCCTCAGAGGACACCATGCACTGTGGTGGGCACCGAGTGGATGGCATGCTGCCAGGCTGCATGGAGTCGGAAGCACCTGTGCCCAGGCCTACAGGTACTGGGCCCACAGTTCACGTCTCCCTTCCAGACCAGTCCAGTCCTCCCAGCACTGGCTAGCTGGCTAGACTCCTGCAGATCTCTGAGGTGCCCATTTGGGCTTCAGTGGGGTGGCAATTCTTTCCAGGGGAGAAACTCCACTTTGGTGGGACGAAGGCTCAGTTTAAGAGACCTGATCCTGGGCAGGCTCCAGGATCCTGGGCGAGCTGCTGGGTTCCCTTATTTAAACCTCAACTTCTCACCTTCCTAATGGGAACAGCAGTCTCCACCACAGAGAGATGATGCAAGGAGGCATCCGGGGTCAACGTGAGCTTCTTGGGCAGGTGTCCTAGGTGGGGTCCCTGTCGAGCCAACACTAGCTGCATTGCTCCCCAGGCTGGTGGGGGCTATCTAACCATGTGCCTGGTGGGGTGATTGTGGGAAGCCCTGCCTTTCTTAGTCTGAGCTCTAGATTTTGTTTATTTATCTGGGTTGGTAGCAGACACTGAAATGATGGAGATAGAATCCTTTTCCCATTTTCTAAATGTAGAAGAACACAGCACGTCCTGAGTTGGTAGGGTTCGTGTTGGGCAGAGGAGGTGGACAGGGTGAGGTAGGAAAGGTGCTGGCCTCCCACTGTGCCGGGATCGGGGAGGGTAACAGGCAGGCAAGGACCACCAGGTGTTGTGTTGCTGGGCTCTCTCCAGGGTGGTCTTTGTAGCCTGTGGGGCAAACAGGTGAATCAAGTGGCTTTTTAAATTATTATCTAGGGGCACCTGGGTGGCTCAGTCGTTAAGCATCTGCCTTCGGCTCAGGTCATGATCCCAGGGTCCTGGGATCGAGTCCCGCATTGGGCTCCTTGTTCAGCGGGGAGCCTGGAAAACAAAAAACAAACAAAAAAAGAGTTCTAATTCACCTTTTTCATAGTGTATAGTTCAGGGGTTTTTAGTATAGTCACAAAGTTGAGCAACAATCACTACTGTCCAGTTCCAGAACTTTCTCATCACCCCAAAAAGAAAACCCATACTCATTAGTAGTTACTCCCTTTTCTCCTGGAACCTCCAATTCCCTCAGCCATTCATATCCTTTCTCGGTTTATGCCTTTGCCTGTTCCTGGATTTGCCTGTTTTATATAAATGGAATAGTACAGTACGTGGCTATCTTTGTCTGCCGTCTTTCACTTAGCGTCACCGTTAGAAGTACCATAGCATGGGGGGGGCGCCTGGGTGGCTCAGTCGGTTAAGCGTCTGCCTTCAGCTCAGGTCATGGTCCCAGGTCCTGGGATCGAGCCCCGCATCGGGCTCCCTGCTCCGCGGGGAGCCTGCTTCTCCCTTTCTCTCTGCCTGCTGCTCTGCCTACTTGTGTTCTCTCTCTGTCAAATAAATAAATTAAAAAAAAAAAAAAAGGAAGTCCCATAGCATGTTATAGCATATCAGTACTTTGTTCCTTTTTATGATTGAAGAATATTCCATCGTGTTGATGGACATTTTGCTTATCCGTTCATCAGGTGATGGACATTCGGTTTGTACCCATGTGTGGGCTGCTGTGAACATTTGTGGATGAGTATTTGTGTGGAATTACGTTTTCAGTTCTACTGGGCATATACCTTTAAAGGGAATTGCAGGGTCAGATGGTGAATGTATGTTTTAAATGTTTAAGGACCTGAGGCAGCTGGCTGGCTCAGCTGATGGGGCACATGACTCTGGATCTTGGGGTTGTGGGTTTGAGCCCCACATTGGGTGTAGAGATTACTTAAAAATAAAATCAAACGAATAAACGAATGGTTTTCCACAGTGGCTGCATCATTTTACATCTCACCAGTAATGTATGAGGGTTCTAGTTTCTCCACATCCTCACCAAAAATTTTTCTTGCCCGATGTTTTTATTCTAGCCATCCTGATAGGTGTAAAAATGGTATCTCATGGTTTTGACTTGCATTTCCCTAATGACTAATGATGTTGAAGATCTTTTCATGTGCTTATTGGTTATTTGTATATCTTCTTTGGAGAACTATGTATCCATTTTTCAACTGGGCTGTTTGTCTTTTAATTATTTTTTTAAAAAAATTTTATTAATTTATTTGACAGAGAGAGACACAGCGAGAGAGGGAACACAAGCACGGGGAGCAGAAGAGAGAGAAGCAGGCTTCCCGTGGAGCAGG